TGATTATACTTACCCCTCCCCCAACTCCTTCTAGAGCCACCCTCAACTGTGTAGTTCAGGTTTGTCTCAGATTCTATGTGTTTCAGACAGTCCTCAAACTTGGAATCTTCCTATTTCTGCCTTCCAAGTCTTGAGATTATAGAGAAGATATTTTTCTTTACGTTTTTCAAAATTTTCAAAAATTTAAGCTTAAATTTTATTTTGTGTAAGAGTGTTTTGCCTACATGTATGTGTGTGCACCATATGCCTATAGTCCTCTTGGAGGCCATAAGAGGGCACTGGATCCCTGGAACAGGAGTTATAGATGCTTGTTAGCCACCATGTGGGTTCTGGGAACCAAACCTGGATCTGCTGTAAAAACAGGCTGTGTTCTTAATTACTGAGCATCCCTTTCTCCCCTCCTGGAAGGAATTTTTTTTTTTTCTCGAGACAGGGTTTCTCTGTGTAGCTTTGCGCCTTTCCTGGATCTTGCGCTGTAGACCAGGCTGGCCTCGAACTCACAGAGATCCGCCTGGCTCTGCCTCCCAAGTGCTGGGATTAAAGGCGTGCGCCACCACTGCCCGGCACCTGGAAGGAATTTTAATCTCATCTTTTTCTTGCTGTGTTGAGAATGACTCTGAAGTATTGTTAAAATGCTTAATGCATGTTCAAGGAAGGAGATGGTACTTCCTTAAGACAGATGGAAAATGCTTATTGGGAGGATGCCATTTGTACTATATTTTGAAGAATGGATTTGGAAAAGATAAACTGGATATTCTAGGCGAAGAAATTTCGTGATCAAAGGTGGGAGAGTCAAGTACAGTGTTAGGTCAGGGATTAAAACTCAGACATCATGAAGGCCAGGCAGGTGACCCAGATGGCACCTACAGTAACAGATGGCATCCTTGTATGAGTAAGTTGTGAGTATTTTTAACATAGTACATATTTCTGAATGTTCAAAATTAAAATTGTAGAAGGGAAGAGATAAGCAAATACTGAATAAGTGCTGCTTTATTGGATTGATTGATTGCATGCCTTCTAAGGGAATGAAGCTCATCTTCCTTCTTGAAGACATGTCGCCTTCATCTTGGAATGTTTTTTCTTGATAATAAATTTAGTAACTTCCTACTTTTGAACAACAGTGGGTTTTTAATACTTTCATTTAGTGTGTTTATGCATATGATGAGAACCAACCCCGGAGTTCCTTCTGTTCTGTTGTGTTTTGAGTTCACTGTTGTTTTGGAAATATCTTCCCTCACCCCATGGACACCTCCTTGGAGCAGTCCTTTCCAAAAGTTTTTCTCCCCTGGAGCAATAATATATATATTTCCAATGGACTGTTTTGATGTCTTGTTTTAGGATCCTGAAAGTCAAGCTTTTACCAAATGCATGTGCTGTAGTTTACTTCATGACAGGCTTCTCTACTTTGACTCTAGCTCTCAATCTCATTTTCTTCATCATTTTAACATTGACAATACACCTATTGGTCACACCTTCCTCAGATACATTTCCTTATTCATACCCTTTACCTGTCATGACACGATCAAGAGAACTCCACTGCTCATTAGCTTTGTCAGTTTCAGTAGGATCCAGGAAATGCATATTGAACAAGCATCAGAAAGCGTGGTAAGTAAGCAGGGATGTGTCAATCACCTGCTGTACCCACCCCTGTCATTTTAGCACTTTCTGCTCTCCCAAAGAACTCAGTGTACTGAAGGGGTGGACAACTAAAAGACAGATGAAATGGTTGACTTGTTTGGCTGTAAATGCAGATGGGACAGGTAATTAAACAGTTCTGCTCCTGCAGAGAAGACGGCAGCAACGGAACATGTCATCCCAGAAACCCAGCTGCACTCCATTTAGATTCAGAACTAATATTAGGTAGGCTTCCCCCAGATTGACAGATTTCGTAAACATCATTTCTGGTTCATCGTGATTGAAGATGAAGCATGTATTTTGTTTGCAGATTAAGTTTTCTAGAGAGCATATGACATTTATAGATACTTGAAAAAAAAATAGCTTTAAAGGGCTCAGCCCTGTATGTGGAGAGCCAGGCATGCCATGAGTGAAGTCTGCCCTGGTCCTCTCCTGTTCTTGTCTTCAGTATCCCATGGAGGTGGGGGGTGGAATCCACTAGTTGACTAGATCAACAGTTGGAGGGAGCTGGAAGGGAGATTAGCAATACTTCCCTTGTTTTATCTTTTTTATCCTTTTACCTTTGATAGGGTATGAAGTAAAGGTCTGTGCATATGGACAGCAGTTTTGTTTACATGTATAATGTAATTTGGGTAGTTGTTTCCATATAGAAACAATCACCACACCATCTACTCATTTGCTCCCATACAAGATGTAACAGTTACCCCTTTTGTTCACCTTCTACAAGAGGCCTCAGCAGACTGTTCATAGAGCTAATAATACATTTTATCTTTCAAGTATCACCTCACAGGCCTCTTTCTCTCTGCGCCTATCTGGCCAGTTTTACAAACTGACCTCTACCAGTTGTGTTCCTATGTTAAGGCCAGAGCATATCCGTGTAGCACTTACTGGGATTGATACACACTTGCTTATCACTAGCAGTCATACTTGGTTTCATTCTTTACTGTGTAGTCTCATTTTAATCATGCTTCCTGTTGGCTGGTTGATTGTTCACTCAGACATTCTTTCTTTCTGCCACAGTGGATGTTGGTTCTGAAGGCCAAGGCTGTTCCCTTTCATCCACCTTGCATTTGTTGCTCAATTCCTTACATGCAATATACAACTTATAACCTAGAACTGTGGTAGATTGCTGGTGTAACAGTTTCTTGCCCCCAGAAAGAGAATGAAAACACCCTAGTTTGCAGCATTTACTGATATCTGTGGCATACATACTCTGTCCTGGCCAGCGCTAAGCTGCCAAATGGTATCACTGATGACTGAATTGGAAAGCAGCTCACAAGTATCACTTTGTTGTCACACAGACTCCTCTGCAGGGCCAGGACCTGTCCCAGCTGTATTTGGCAACTAGACAAACCAACCGCTTCATCTGCTCCTTTGCCTCAGTTGTCCACCTGATGGGTATTCTCTGAGGTGTTGAAACATTCATGTCTTACAGATATACATCACTTCAGGGAAATAAAATAATAAAATATAATAAATAATTAGGAAGTTATGACTTTGAGTACATATTACACTTACTTTTAATATGATTTAATTGCAACTTTATACAACATAATTTCAAGGCTACATTTGACAGCTGCCTTTCAGAATTTCTGGAAATTGAACAATCTGTTTTCATAATCTTGTACAAGATAGCTCCAGCACCCTACGAGAGATGGTCCTGAGAGACACCACTCCGTATCATGATGTGTGTGGCTCACAAAGGAAAGGAAGGCATGGCCCAGGAATTGGTTGGAAAACTTCTTACAGAAGCATTTCCCAGAGAGTCTTGGCTCACCTCTGCTGAATGAATGAAGAAAGTGACCCAGCTCCTACCTTAGTATACATCATTTGACAGTGACCACACAAGAGAGTGGTATGGCAGTAATGAGAAATAAACCACCAGAGGGAGAGTAGTAAAAACAACCCAGGTCTTCATGTAGGGTGCTAGAAAAGCCCAGTGCTTGGTGGTTAAGAGTAGTTCTTTTTCAGAAGCTAGCCTGGGGCCAAAAGTCCCTTGTGCCTATTGTAAACTATTAGTCAGCTGAACTGCTTGCCACTTCTCATTGCCTGCATGGCTGTCATTGGATGGAAGTGAGCTCCAGGCAGAGACTGAAGCAAATCCTACGCAACTCTGGATGCTTAGAACAGATAAGGAAAGCAGCAATTGAGGGATGAAGGGGTCATAGACAACAGGAAAAAGCCACACTGGGGATGCACTACTACCTGTAGAAGATTGTCTCCTTATCTAGAATAATTAGAGCTGGCGCTGGTGTGCAGATGAGCAGACTTGATACAAAGAATGTAAAACATAACGTAGTATTTACCACATTTGAGCTTAGGCAACTATGATGAAAGTCATTGGTTCCACCTTGAAAGCTGGCTTGGTGAGTGTCCCAGAGTTTTATAGCCAACAAAGATTATAGCCTACTGCAGCTAAGAAACTCATTTTCCTGACACTGAGTCTTTCAACATTGACTCATGCTATAGTTCGCAAGAGTCCTTCAAAACAAACAGAAGCAATCCCAGAGTAGAAATGACTGTTTTTCCCCAAATCAGTAATGTTCTCATGAAAGCTGACTGAATAGAAAGGGGCATCTGTTAGAAACTAGTTCACATAGCTTCCAGTGCATCATCTTCAGTGCCTAGCACTGTTCTGGGCAGTCAAGAAAACAGGATCATATGTGGATGTGCTGGTGCCCACCTGTAGCACTTGAGAGGTAAAGACCAGAGGATTGCGAATCCTATGCTACACAGCCATCCTATGCTACACAGGAGCCTGTGTTAAAAGAACAAAAACAAAAAAACAACGACTGGAGCTACTGTTCAGTGGTAAAGCTCTAGCCTACCATTTCCAAAGCTTTGAGTTTCACCCCCGCCTCAGGAAAGAGAGAGAAAGAAGAGAATTATAAACACCGTGTGTTTGAACTGAGATTGAGATCTGTTCAGATTGGTCCTGACCTCATTTGGATGTTTATTAACTCGGGATTCCTGGAAGTTTTATTATTTTGGTAGTAAAGTGTAAGTGGAGGTTAATTAGGTAATAAAGGGAGTTGGGATGTTTTGGGATGGGGAACAATATAGAATGGTGACACTGCATGTGTGCTGGGGACTACGGGAAGGATGGGGAATCTGGAGCTAGGACTTGAAGGCAGGCTCTTTTGTTTGTTTTTATCTCCAATCTCAGAAACTGAAGGGAAGCCACAGGAGAATAGAAAGAGCAATGATTCCATATCTTTAATTTCTGCCTCTTTTCCCTGTATTGTCTTTTAGGATTTTAGTTATTGGTTCTAAGAGTTGGAATCTAAATGACGCCTAATGAGGGGCTGATTAATAGCTGTCTTGTCCCTATTGTGTTTGATGTTATTGCTCTGTACTTCCTGCAGCTGCTGCCTATCCATACTCTGAGACTTGGTGTGGAAGTGGATTCCTTTGATGGGCACCATTATATCTCTTCAGTTGCTCCTGGTGGTCCTGTGGATACCCTGAATCTCCTACAGCCGGAAGATGAACTTCTTGAGGTAAAACATAAAGGGATGAAGAATACATAGCCAGAATTTTAAGTTCTAGGAAAATGTGTTCACCAATTGACAATGTCACTAATGCCAATGTAATGTGAGCCATTATAATGCGAAATACCAACAGCTTATTAGGTAGTACAGAAAGTAGATACCACATTTTTAATGTATTTTTCTCTAGCTGTTATGGCCTTTGAATCATTTTGAACGATTGATTGTGGGAGACCAGCTCTGACCTGTCGAAGGGTTCTTGCGGAGAGGAGAGAGGAATGAGAAGTATTAGATAGAAATATAGGCAAAGAAGGAGAGAAAGACAGACACAGGATAGCTTCAGGAGGACCCTGGGTCAATACCCAGCCACCTTGAGGTTTATTCTAATGGGCTTTTTATACACTGCCAAGGGGAGAGGCAAAAGACCTTCCCCTTTCAAGATCAAAACACACCATACAGCCAAGTGTAGACCCTTCCAAACACCTGGTAACCACACCCCTGTCCAAATCATCCCATTGTGGAGCCCTACTGGATAAAGCCAGCTCAGATTCTCTGACCTTGAGTAAAGTCTTCCTGGAGAGCCTCTATGGGCCCCCACAATTGATATGTAAGTTTGATATACATATATGAGTGTTTTACCTGCATGTATTTATGTGCACTATGTACGTGCCTAGTGCCTTTGAATGTCAGAAGAGGGCTTTCGGTGCTGGGGTTTGAACCTGGGAGTCCTCTACAAAAGCAACAGATGCTCTTAACTGTCTTGCCACCTTTCCAGCCCCATGGTTCCTGATTCTTCTTGGCAACATGTAGTCATATTTATTTTCAGGTTCTGTTGGTTATTTCTGTAAGGATTTGAGCTGAACAACTTCAGGCTGTGTATAGCTTTAAGATTTTCCCCATGGGATTTCCCTCTTAGTAAGACTGACTCCAATGGCTCTTTCAGGCTACCCGTTCTCTTGTCAGCTTAGAGCAGTTTTAGAACAGAACTCTTTGTCACCAGAGCAATTTTTACACAACCCTGTGTATATAGGTGTAAAATAGGTATAGACATTTACTGATAATAAATCATAACTTTATGTTAAAATGACTCTTAGGCATGCACATATTTCTGCCACTTATTAAAGATGGAAGCTAGTTTGCACACTGAGATGGACATCCTTGTTGGCTTTCATATAAGGAACTAAATCTTGGCTGACTTCGGTATGGCAGGAGCAGAGCATCTTCAGTGTTTTCCAGATCTGATCAATATTTAGATTTTGTAATTGCCAATATTGAATATTTTGTTTTGCCTAAATACATAGTACAAAGTGGCAGATGTTTAGGACTATTTCAGAAATTGTTAAAATTCTGTCCTTATCCCAAGCCAAAATTCATTTAACAATTTTTTAATTCTCAAGTCAACAGCCAAAACAGTAATTTTAAAAAATCAAACATTTTAATGTAATATGATGTCAGTATGTACTAATTTGACATTTACAAGCTGAGAAATGATGGCAGGAAAATAATTAAACCATTATATTTTAGGCCTGTGTACCTCCCATCCCCATTCTAAGTGGTGCTGGGGATTAAAATTGGGGCCTCTGTTATGCTGGCCAGTGTTGAACCCACTGAGCTATATCCACAGCGAAAACTCTACATTTCTATAATGAAAACAGTGATTAGTAACAGCGTGGTTTCCATTCCGAACCACTGTTTTAGGCAGTGTTCGTTAGTATTTTATGTCATGGTGGCATGCATAGTCCAGTGCATGTTGTGTGTTTACAACCAAGGCCACAGTGAGCTCATGTGATGTAGCATGGGCAAGTACTGCCAGAAGAAAAATCTTGGATTCATTATAGGTTCGATTTTAAATTCATTTGTGCTTATTGTACATTCTGAAACTCTTTACTATTAATATTTTCATGGAAATACATTCATTACACATATATTACTTTTGTCTTTTTATAAACTTTATTATTTAAAAAAAACAAAAGCCTTTCAAATGAAGAATTTTACACAGAAATTAACCAGACCCAATCTCAACAAATTCCTCTACAGTTAGAATGGCCGTTTGGAAGTGAAGCTCTATAGCTTCACATTGAATTTTACAATTTTACTATTGCATACATTTTTATGGACTTACCCATTACCATAAACTAAAAACCCATGACAGAGTTAGAATTAGAAAAACAATTAGTTTTATATTCTCTTTTACAACTCATGTCTATCATTTCCATTTAGTCCTTTCTCATGCTCTAATTTATATGTAGCCTGTTCTGTTATTTTTCCTATATGTTGTACTGTACCTAAATGTAAGGTTTTTTTTGTTTGTTTTTGTTTCTTTTTACATATATACATGTATTATTACCTAGATCCCATATATTGGGGAGAACATGCATTTTTTTTCTTTCTGAGATTGTGTGATCTTATTTAATATCATAATTCTATCCATTTTCTTGTAAATTTTGTGATTACATTTTTTTCTTTAGAGCTGAATAGCATTCCATCTTATATATGCACCTGCCGCTCTTATCCATCCACCTATTGTTAGACAACCGTGTTCTCTTTTCTTGCTACAGTGACTAAAGTTGCAGTGGACATGGACGTGCACATATCTCTTTGGCAGGTTATGACATTTTCTGGATATTTGCCCAGGAGTGACATAGTGGGGTCATATGTTAGTTCTGTTTTTAATTTTGAGAAACCTCCAAACTGATTTCCACATGACTATATTAATTTGTTCCCCCACCAAAGTGAATAACCCACACCATCTTCAACAGTTGTTGTCAGATATGTTGATGATAGTTATTCTATAGTTTTAATTTGCATTTCCATGATGACTAGGGATATTGAGTGCTTTTAAAAACAGTGATTGGCCATTCATGTTTCTTTTTTTGAAAAGTATTCAGTTCATTTGTGTTGATATGGAGGCATTTAATTTCTACAATCCTTGGTAAATTCTATATTTAGCCCCTTGTCTGAAGTGTAGCTGGTAAAGATTTTCTCCCATCCTCTAGGCTCTGTTGGCACTGCTGTCTATTTGCTTTACACAAGCCTTTTATTTTGATGCCATCCCTTTTGTTGACACTTGGGTTTAATTCCTACGCTATTGGTGTTCTAGTCAAAAGTTCTTCCCTAACCCAGTATCTTGAAGGCTATCTCCTATGTTTTCTTCTAGACATTTCTGTGTTTCTATATGAAATTAAGGTCTTTGATCACTTTGAATTTATTTTTGTACAAGGTGAAAAATAAGACTATTTTCATTATTTTGTGGGTAGAAATGCAGTTTTGTTGTTGAATAGGCTATATCTATTAATGGGATAGCATGATGTTTTGATAAGAGTAGATGTTTTGTGTCGTTTAACTCAGGTTGAACATATCCACCTCATATATTCATCATTCTTTATGAGGGAAAGGTAGTTATTTTTAGATCACTGAAGGGAGTGGCCTTGAGCTGCATATAGAAGATTTATGCTATGAATTTTACTGGATAACTGAGGCTCTGTTTCTGGTCCTAAGATTATGTCTTGCCGGGCAGTGGTGGCACACACCTTTAATTCCAGCACTTGGGAGGCAGAGGCAGGCAGATCTCTATGAGTTCGAGGCCAGCCGAGTCTATAAAGTGAGTTCCAAGACAACCAGGACCATTACACAGAGAAACCTTGTCTCAAAAAACCAAAAGGAAAAAAAAAAAGATCATGTCTTTCCTGATTAATAAGGCATGGCCATAGCTTTGAGACAATAGTCTATGGAGTGGAGAACATTGCTGTGATATGTAATTATTAGCTGTTGAGAAACAAGATATATTAGAGATGCAGACAGAATAAAATTGACTTAGTTAATTTAGTTTAGTTCTAGGTGGCAAGGTATATGCAACTAAGTTTACCATGTGAGGTTCAGTGACTCAGAGTATACAGCACTTGATATGTGGTGGATGTTAGAGCAGTGTTGAATGGGTTAGAGTGGATCAAGCATAGCATGCCCCCACTCCTACTCCCACCCTGTCAACCGACTTCTCTGTTCTCCAGCCAAGGCCTCTACGTCAAAAAACAAAGCACTATAAAAGGAGTGTAAAGATTTTGGGGGTGGGAGTGTAATGAACTTTTTACATTAACACATAAAGTCACATGATTTCATAAATATGTTCTACTTTCTTCATTTTTTAAGGGTTTATTTATTTATTATGTATATACTGTTCTGCCTGCATGTATGCCTGCAGGCCAGAAGAGGGCACCAGATCTTGTTATAGATGGTTGTGAGCTACCTTGTGGTTGCTGGGAATTGAACTCAGGACCTCTGAAGAACAGTCAGTGCTCTTAACCTCTGAACCATCTTTCTATCCCCTTGTTCATTCTTTTTCAAACCTGCTCTTGTGCATGGGAGGCATGTGCTCTGCTCTGAGTGTTATTCATGGTCTCAATAGTTTGATATGGAAAGTATAGATTTCTGGTTTAAAAAAAAAGTTGAGATACAGAGAGAAGCCTAGATTGAAAGGCAGAGAAGTGCTTTGGGTTCTGGATTTGCCCCAGCCCTGCATAGGGCATGGCATTTAACATATTAGAAAATGGATTGCTTCTCCTTCCTCAATGGAATATTTATGAGGATCTACACAGTGACCATCCATGTAGACTGTAGAGCTTCTGTCACAAGGAGGATTGGCTCTGTTATCAGTTTGGCAGACAAGTTACCAAGCTTATGTGTAAAGTCAGTGCTCTGGAAGCTCCTACTCACTTGTGCAGTTTCTAACCAACAAATCTACATGATTAAGACTTGATGGCACTTAAAAGAGGGAGGGTCTCAGGGTGAAGGACTGTGAGAAATATTGTGAATTCTAAAGTAAAATTGACTTCTGAGTAAGTGCATGGAGACATAAAAATCTTTTAGTTGGTTTCTTCCATCCCTCTCTCTCAGCTCCTCTCCCGCTCTTGCCCTCTCTCTTCATTTTTCTTTCTCCACCCCTAATGTGTTTAATGTACTTCTTAGAAATTAAAACCAGAAACACAAATATGCTTTGGGGTTAGAGGACCATGCCAAGTCTCAGCCCAGAACAGCTATTTACAGCAGCCATAAATCCCCTTAGCTAGGAGTTGGTAATGGGAAATGTGACCAATCTTTTTAGCAGTAGATAGTGAAGAGGACTACCAGGCACTGCTATAATAAGTGGAGACAATTCCAATGAATAAATAATGAACTAAATAAATATTTCAAGGTACTCTAAGATAGAAACCTGGAAAGTGACTTTCTAATTTGTTGAAGCACAAACTAATAATTGTATATAGGTAGAGTTTCTGTTTCCATTGTATCTCCCTTCATATTTAATAGAGGTTACTGTCCAGTTGACTCTAGAACTTTCTGTGCTAATTTCATAAACTGGTACTGTGGATATGATGTGAGCAGGGATAGCTCCCTGCCCCTTCTGTGTAGAGGTTGACTTGAATTCTTCCAAGGAAGACTGCTTGCTCCTGGCCTTGCTGTTCCTCAGACTCCTTTATAGTCATGATGACTTGAGAGAGGCAGAGAGGGGGAGAGATTGAGATTCTTTGTGGTGGTTTTGTTGTTACTGTTTTTAGCATGTGTTTGAATAATTGAGAGACAGAATGGTGTGTCCGGTTTGATGGCTCTAAGTGCTGGATGTGTCACAGCCTTGAGAGTGGTCCCTCCGGACAGCTGATTCCAGCCACTACCCACTGTGTTTTCCCTGGTCCAGTGGCAGATCTGTGGAAAGGGTACTCCCAGTCTAGTCAGTCCTGCCTATTATCTGAGCATTAGTGCCATGCCTTTGAGAGACTGATGCCACAGGAGAAATACTAAGTTGCTGCTAACCCCTCTTAGGAAGGCAGAAGATCCAAAGAAATTATTGTTGGCTAGATCTTGTTCCTTCCTCTTCAGCTTTTAGGAATAGTAGCCAGGTCACTCTTGGTGACTTGCAGACAGAACTGAGAGAACTTTGAGCTAAAACTACATGAAAATCACAATACCCTCAAATCTAGATTTCTAAACCATCTTTGGTCCAAAGTATTATTATGTATCAAAATATAGATATTGTTGTAGAATATTATTTTAAGGTGTGTTGCTTTTGTTTATGTTGCATTTGTTTAACTCTGTGAAGCTGTGTGATTTTTGCCTGTCAAAAACACCTGATGGTCTAATAAAAAATGAATGGCCAATAGTGAGGCAGGAGAGAGAAATAGGTGGGGCTGGCAGGCAGAGAGAGAGAATATATAGAAGGAAAAATCTGGGAGGAAAAGAAGTAGCCAGAAAAGGAGGAGGACACCAGGGGCCAGTTACCCAGCTACACCACTAGCCACAGAGGAAGAGTGAAAGTAACATTACAGAAGTAAGAGAACTGGAAAAGCCCAGAGGCAAAAGACGGATGGAATAACTTAAAGTTAAGAAAAGCTGGCAAGAAACAATACAAACTAAGGCTGGATGGACATTTAGAATTAAGAATAAGCCTCTATGAGTGATTTATTTTGGAGCTGGGTGGCAGGCACCCCCTCAAAATTGAGTAAAAGGCAACAACAATATGATGTTTGGTGATAGGGATTAATCATTGACGAGGAGAAATTACCCTTTTGAAAGGCAGGGAGCGCACATGTGAACTTGGGAACTGCACACTTGTGTGATGCTGCACTAGCTCAGCATATGGGAATAGAAGAGGTGCTGGTGACACCTACTTCTTCCTGTAGAAGCGTTTGCTAAGGTGATGCTCTTGCTGTGGGCTGAGGAAGAGTGCGCTGACTGATAGTAAACCCCAGCTGCTGAGTACCCTAGATGTGGTCACACGTTGAAGGCGAACAGTGACAACACAGAAGGAAATGGTGTAAGAAGGCTGGCAGGGACAGTCAGTGCATTTAAGGAGGAGTGAAGGGGCGGGGGGAAGCCAGAAGAATACAGCATTGGATTGTGTAAAGGAGAAACTTCAGAGATGTGAAGCATTGGATCTCTTACCCAGGAATAGTGCTGCCTGGCATACATTTTATACTTTATTCTCCCCATTTCAAACGAGATTCAGCCTTAAATTTTTAATCAAGATTCAGCCTTGATTTAGATGTTTTAAGTTGTTAGTAAAATAATATGATTAATTTTAGGCCCTTTGTTTGTAGGAACAGTGAAATGTCTTCTTTTTGGTGCTTTTTAATTTTGCACCTGTTCACAGTTGACATCCCTTGTCGTCCTAGGTCAATGGTGTGCAGCTTTATGGGAAGTCTCGCCGAGAAGCAGTCTCCTTTCTTAAAGAAGTGCCTCCACCATTTACCTTGGTTTGCTGTCGCCGGCTGTTTGATGATGAGGCCTCAGTTGATGAGCCAAGGACCATGGAACCTTCCCTTCTCGAGGCAGAGGTATGTGTGTTTATTATGTGTGTCCTTTTACCAGGGTCACTCCAAAGAGGGTGTTTCAATATAAAGAGGGGCCCCTGCTCTACCCTGCTTTTTTTTCATTTGACTAAACAACGGTGTAGAATGTTTCAGATTCTGAATTTACATTTGGATTTCTACAACTCCCTGAAAATGTTAAGACATTGATGTATATCAATCTGATTTAAAAAAACCATTAAAAAAACAACTATTTTTAAAATTAATTGTCTAGAATCATGGCTTTTGACTTCTATTTCAACTTATTTCACTCTAAAAAAGTTGTGGTGTTGGTGAGTATTGACGGTCTTAGTCTTCCCTTTCTGAGAACCTTAAAAATATGAATAATTCTGATAAGTTTCAGTGTGAGTTTAGAAGCTACCATCAATGGAAAAGAGTCAGGATATGGCCTGGTAGGTCCTCTGCTGTTAGATGTCTTGTTTTAGGAGTGCTGTAATCTGGGGAGGAACTGTGAAGGCAGGTGCTGTCACCAAATACCCTTTGGAGCCTCCTCTTTATGCCACTTACCCTCCTTTCCAGACACAAGCAGTTTAATGCAGGGCCTTGCCTTTTACTTACCCATGCTTTGAATTAGAATTCAACTCAGTTCATCTTTGAAGTTGTGTGGGTTTCCTACATACTTTGTGCACCTTTGAGCAGATGCCCTTGACTTCTGTTTTCATTGTGATGAATGCTGTAGTGGTTTGAATGAGAATGGCCCCAAAAGGCTCATTTGTTTGAACGCTTGGTCCACAGTTGGTAGAACTGTTTGGGAAGGATTTGGAGATGTGGCCGTGTTGGAGGAGATATGCCACTCGGGGCAAGGTTAGAGGTTTCAAAAGCCCATGCTAATGTCAGTTAGCCCTCTCTCTCCCCCTCTACCTTATGCTTGTGGATCAAGATGTAAGTTCTCAGCTACTGCCCCTGTTCCATGTCTACTGTTCCCCACTATGATGATCATGGATTCACCTTCTGAAATTGTAAGCCCCAAATAAACTCTTCTTTAAGAGGTTGCCTTGGTCATGATGTCTCATCAAAATGGTAGAGAAGTAACTAAGACAAATGATAACTGTTCACAGATCTTAGAACACTTGGGAGCTTATGTGAGAAGGAAATAAAGTAACGTGTGCCAAGCTCTTAGCATTATGGTGAATGTCAGTGATATTCCTGATGCCTCCCATCCAACATCGTTGTTTCTGATTGACTAAATTACCAGAAAAATCTAGAACTGCTTTACAGTCTAGTGCTGTGCTATAGATCCTTTGGCATGAATATATCTTGCTTTTTCAAGAAAGGGCACAGGCCATTTCTTAAAATTTTCTGTAATCTAATGTTGCCTTCATTCTGTACTACACATATGAACTACTCTTGATTGACGGCTTCTTTTTCCCCCCTTCAGACAAGGTTCACTATATAGTCCAGGTTAGCCCAGGACTGGCTTTTATCCCAAGTCCAGCTTCGAATTGAACTCATAATCCTGCCTTTGTCTCTCCAGTGCTGACATAATAGATGTGTGCCTCTGTGTGCCTGGCTGATTCCTGTTTTAATGTAAAGGAAGAAAAAAAATTGACGTGTCATATACCTTTAATCTAAGCACTTGGAAGGCAGAGGCAGGCAGAGCTCTATGAGTTCAAGGCCAGCCTAGTCTATATATCAAGTTCCAGGCCATCCAGAAACTCTACATAGTAAGGTCCTGTCTTGAAACAAAATAACATAAATTTTAGGAGGGGACTCTAGAGATACTACTTTGTGACTTTTACTGTTCTTAGTAAGTTGAAGTGTGGGTGGTGACTTCCTGGTGAAGCTGGATAAAAATACCGTTAGTTTAATTCTGTCAGGTGTAAATCATCAGCCCAGCTTGCTGACTCTGCTCCCATCCGTCATACTGCACAGTGGTGAACAACAGCCTGAAGCATGCCAAATGTCAACATTGCTGCCTGTTAGCTGATTGCTTTCTCTTCTGTAGACTGGAGTTATGTAGAATTGATGTATCAGAGTGACATATTCCAGGTCGGTGTGGAACGTGCACCTAGGGTGCCATGACATTTTGATAAACTTGGACTTTGTGGTTATATGTGATCTCTTGAAATTTTGGCTCCTTTTCAATTGTTCTTTGTTTTTCATTTATCCTGAAACTATCATTCTTTTTATTAAAAATTATTTTTATGTATACATATGTGTGTCTTTGTGATCATATGCCAAGTGTGTGCCCTTCAAGGTCAAAAGAGGGTGTTATATCCACTGGTGCTAGAGTTACAGGCAGATGTGAGCTGCCCAGTATAGGTGCTGGGAACAGAACTTGGATCCTCTGGAAGAGCAGCAAGTATTCTTAACTGCCAACATAGCTCTCCAGTGCTGTATTACGTTGTTAAAGTGTCTGGTTAGGTGGCATAGCAACAGTTCTATTTCTCACTGATCAGTGAGTAAGCACCAATATTATACCAATCATATTAGCCTCTAGAACATTCTGTTGGGAGGTGGAAGTATTTTCTTTTCAAAATATCCCTTCCCAGGTGGGTGAAATGACTCATCAGGTTCAATTCCAGAACCCCATGAAAGGTAAAAGGAGAGAACTGAGTCTACTGAGTTGTCCTTTAATATCACACATATGCCATAACACATGCATCCACACATACCATAATCATTTTTTAAATAATACAAGAAATAATTCCTCACATCAAACTGAAATATGTGGAGATTAGGAGTGGAGAACATTCCCTCGCTTCAGGTTTGGTCAGTCAAGAACCAAGAAATTATTCCTGTGTTTAGGTTCTGTTCAGCTTGGCTTAGGTGTTCCATATCCTGCAACAATAATTTGAGAGCTGAACCACTGATTTCGAAGGTGGTTTTGTTACTCTTCCTCATTATAGAGCCCTCCCGTTGATACCATTAAGTGGATTTTCTTATACCAGTGACTTAGTTCTATTTGTAGAAATGATACATTTTCATTTTATTTACTGAGATTCTCCAAGATTTTAAGAATTCTGCTTTGAGAAGTTGTTATTTAGCCACAAGTGTGATTCATGCCTGTAATCCCAGTACTCAAGAGTCTGACACAGGACTGCTGTGAATTTAAGGCCAGCCTGAGCTACCTAGTGAGTTCCAAGCTAGCCTGAACTGCAGAGTAAGACCTTGCTTCAAAAAACTAAATTGTTATTTAGTCTGTGGAGGGACAAGGTATTTTTGGAGAGATTAATCAGCACAAATCAATATAGTGCTATAAATAAAATGAAGACTTCTGAAGCACCCGATGTCCCATCTAGTAGATTGGTCTCATTTGACTTCACTGGGATCCTGACAGGACAGGAGTCCAGAAGAGAGGATGTCAGAGTATGGGAATTAACAAAGAACCTGTGTGCTCGGCGCTTGTGCGCACTCATTTCCTCTAACACCAGATTGGTTATTCCTGTTTCACTCGGAGAGTTACACAGTGCTCGAGGAGTTGGTGGTGGTGGCTGCTGGTGCTGCCACAGCTCTACTGCCCTCAACGTTGCCTCCTCTCTTCTTCCTTCTTCCTGTACTTTTCCAGTAAAACTTTCTTGAGATCTTCTGGGAGCCACCAGGAGCGGCTTCTCTGTGCCCTGGCTGGCCTTTCTGTCTCTGACTAAAATTATGACAACAGGATTGCTTTTAAAACATCTGTTTGCCTCTTCTTTGCATGAAGTTTACATTTTTACTTAAATTACCTATTTTTCCTTTTATGCTTCTAATGGGATGACAGAACTCATTGAAGTATAAGAGGTCAGTGTTAACACTTGCAATGAAACCATTTGAAAAATGTGTGAAAGATCTGCGGTTCTGAATGCCTGAATGTTTTATGAAGCTTTGATCCTTGATTGTGAGTACCCAGTGCATGCCCCCTTTAAAAAGATCAAAAGCTAACCGAGCATGCCAAAGAGACTTCCCAGTTTGAAAAGAACCTGAGTTCTTTCCAGAACAGAAAGGATGGCAGCTCCAGCATTTCCCTTCTTTGTTCTTTCAGGTGGGCCGCAGGGTAGATGTCAGCGCTGAAGACGATGATGATGGGGAGTTAGCCCTGTGGTCTCCTGAAGTCAAGATTGTGGAGCTGGTGAAAGACTGTAAAGGCCTGGGATTCAGCATTCTGGATTATCAGGTATAGGGGGGTTTGGTTTAGGGTTTTAGTTCTGTTTTGTTTTGCTTTCAGAGCTTTTAAAAATGGGTCCACTCCAGCTTTATTTTATTTATTTATTTTATTTATTCAGTGCCAATCTGGGTTATGTAATGAGACGCTGTCTCTAAAAGCAGAAGCAAAAAGAAAGAAACTCTATACACATTAGCAACATTCCTAACTCTCATGTTTCTATCCTTCCTGTCATGTGAAGGCTTTTGTGGTTTTGCTTATCTGTCAATCTCAATGAATTTAGGTAGAAATATTCTTGGTGAAATTATCTGCTGATGAATGCATAACACCTTTGTAGTTAAATATTTATTATGACTCCAGTTCTAGCTAGAGTAAGGTTGCTGATAAAGGGTTGGGAGCACTGGAGTGCATAGTAGGACACCTGCGTTTTATAGCAGCTTGCCACCTGATGGCCTGCTGTTGGACCTCCGATTATGGAGGAGACTTAGAGCTGTTGACAAATCCCTTTACTACTAAGATGCACACTTTAAAACTGGTGTGACTTAAACATAATGTTAATAAAGCAAGATGTTCTCTGTCAGAGCATATAAAATGCAAAATTATATAAAACCAGATTTAAAAATTGCATTTATTTATTCACTCACTGATTCATTCATACAGTGGTGTGGGTATGGGTGCATGCACAGGCCATAGCACCCACATGGAAGTCAGAGGGCAACTTGTGGGAGTCAGATCCTTCTTTGCATGCGCTTGATTGGCCCTGTAGATAAAACTGAAGCAATCAGACTTGTCAGCTAGGGCCTTTACCCACTGAGCCAGAGTGCATCCCTGAATCTTTATTTATTTTTTTTAGAGCTTATATATTTTATGGTTATAAATGTTTTGCCTCCATGATCTATGTGCACCATGTTTTTGATACCTGCTGAGATCAGAAGAGGGCATTGGATCTCACGGAACTGGAGTTACAGATAGTTGTAAGGTGCCATGTGAGTGCTGGGAAGTAAACTTAGGTCCTTTGCAAGAGCAACAAGTGCTTTAACTTCTGAGGCATCCCTCCAGTCTGTGAAATTGTTTTAAATATAATAAGGTGATAGATAATAGATAAAAAATACTTTCAACATTATGTAAGATTTAAATTACTGATTTAAAATTCCTGAAATGTATTATTTCATTTTTGCTGGCATATTTCTGTGCCAGATAGGCCTCTGCTCTTAGAATTTCCTCTTAGAATATTATTGAATTATAAGTTGTTGACTTGAAATGAGCATTTGGGGAAACAGTGTTATCAGAAAGTATCCAATCGTAAGATTCTGATAAGAACTCTTGGTTCCCTACCCATTGTAGAGGTGTCACCCAGCCCCTCAGATGTTACCGATAAAGGATTCAGTGAAATTTAGGTCAAACAGAATTCACTGGAATTAAAGGAACAAATGTCAGTGAGACTTATTGACCATTTTGATGATGAGGTTTAATTTACAAACACTTTTTAAATTCTATATTGGTGTTCAGCTACCTTTCCATCGTCTTAGAGATCTCTCTGTACTTTCATTGTTAATAATAAATGGATTACTTGTAGACTTTTTAGACCACACCATAGGCCTTAAATATTGATTGATTTGTCTATTTTGCACTAGGTGTCTACATGCTCACCATTACATGCTAACATTACAGCCCTGAGCTACACTCTCAGCCTGGACTTCATGGTTTTAAGTGTTCCACATCTTAAAACAGAAAATTGTCTCTGAGCTTAATAGAATTGTGAAAGAAAGAAAGAAAAACTTGTCAGCCTCTTATGGGTTAATTCCCATAGTTGACAAGAAAGCACTAACAGTTCTGAGCTTTATGCTTTTCAAGACAATTGTTCTAATGTGAATTCTGTTTTCTCACTGTGTTCTCAGAGCTGTGCATGCTCGGTTATGTTGTTTTCTTTTTTGAATATTGTCATTTATAAAAGTGTAGGTACTTTTGTTTTGCCCCCACCCCTCCAATCTGCGTAAATAGTCATTGATTTCTGTTCAGGTTGTATGATGTAATTTTGCTGCAAAAAATTAGTACTAGATAATTCTTTTGTCTTTGTGTTTCTTGGAGAACTGATAGAAAACTTCTTAATTTCCTAAATGCTATTTTTATTCAGATAAAAGGAGTCAGTTCCTTTTCTTCTATAGCCCAACTTTGGAAGGAAAAATACCCACTTTTATGTGTGGTATTTTTCGTCAGTCAAACATTACATGCTCTCACAGTTGTGTATAGTACATTTGTATCATTTGTCGAGGGTATGAAAAATTGTTTCCCACTAAAGTGTTCAGACAATAGGAAATGCAATTTAAAATTTGATTTGTGATATAAGTTCATTAATTTGTTTAATTGTATGATCTTTATAATCAGGTAACAATTTCTAAAGTTGAAAAATAGTTTTTGTAAAACTAAGTAGAAGTGTAGCAGATGCTATGAAAGGCTTATGTTCCTGGTGATTTCCATATTTGATGTTGTTTTGTATAAATTTATTAGGTAGCTGAATAGGACTAAGGCAGATTCCGGCCCTCCTAAGTATAGCACATCTACACTAAGTACTGTAGAAATATTCTAGCCACAGCCTTTCTAGTTTTAGGAACATGGAATAGTTTCTGCGTGGTCAGGGCGTGCATTCGCAGTATTGAGGAGAATGTGCTTTTACTTTTGAGTATTCATTTCAGCTAACTGTTTTTTCTAATTAATGAATTTTCCTCTGCCCCAAGAACTGAACATTGTGTACATTTGTCTCCTTGATGTAACATCTTATAGGTCGGGGATACTAATGTCGCATGAAAGGATCATATGGATAAGTGAATCTGTGTGTAGGGAAAAAAAAAAATCTTCTGTTACCATGAAAAATGTGAGCATTGTTAACCATCATTCAGTTTAGAAAATCAGCATAACAGTTGTTGATACCTTCCTCTGAACTAGTGCAATGCTACAGTCTGTTTAAATGATATACATTGTAGCTTTATAGTTTAGGGAAATTAATAAGTAGATACTTTTTTTTAGTGGAGTTTAAATTTATCCATGAAATTGTATTCTATCATCCCGCCAACTTTCAGAGCCATATGTGAGTTACCTGTGGGTTAGTGGTCAGAAGATTAATTTTTACATAAATTTAGCTGAGATTTAGGAAAGTATGAGTGAACAGATAAAGATCTTGAATTGATCCATGATGGGGTGGTTGGCTTTCTCAGCAGGTCAGTGGTTACTAGGACTGACGGAAGCTGTGTAGCTTAATAAAGCAAAGATGCCTGCTCCGAAATGAAGGAGCTGAGTCTGATACAAAGTTCGAGAGGGCAGTCATGTGGCCACAGAGCAAATGTGGAAATTCATGTCCATGAATTTTAGACTAGATTCAGACAAGGAAAAAGAGAAACAGTAAATATAGGTTAGAGTAAAGCTTTCGTTGGCTGTGATCTGAGCAGAGATTAAATCTGTCCCCCACAGAAGTTGGCTAAAATTCTGTCTTATGTGTTTAGCATGTGTACCTCCATATCTTGCAAGGTCGGGTGGTGGAGACAGTGCATTGCAGGTTGACGATCAGCTCTTTTCCAAAGCATCAGAGCACTTGGGAAATTTGGCCATAAGTTTAAAAAAATTTAATTCTGCCAGGTGGTAGTGGCACACACTTTTAATCCCAGCACTTGGGAGGCAGAGGCAGGTGGATCTCTGTGAGTTCAAGGCTAGCCTGGTCAACAGAGCTAGTTCCAGGACAGCTAAGACTGTTACACAGAGAAACCTTGTCTCCAAAAGCAAACAAACAAAAATTTATTTCTATTTTTATTGTTGTGTGTGTGTGCGCGTGCGTGCCCAGGTGCATGCGTGCACTCTTGCGTGCTTGATCGTGTTCCCAGGTGTGCAGGTGCATGAGTGACAGAGTGCATGTATGGAGGCCAGGGGACAGCTTTCTAGAGTAGGTTCTTTCCTTACTGTGGAGCCTGGGATAGAAATGAGGTCAGACTTATACAGCGAGTACTTTTGCCTACTAAGTCATCCTCTGGCACTGGCTGGAAGTTTTCATAGCTTCTTAACATATATTAGCTTATATATTTCTCACAAGAACCATGTGATCCCCATTTAACAAGTAAGGTAATTGAAGACGGATATGTTAGGTGTTAAGTCCAAGCTCATACAACGTCGTGCATATGGAGGAAACAAAATTTGACCTCAAGTAGTTGGGCTGACATCTCACTGCCGTTAATCATACTATGTTATTTCTTTTTGAGGATTTTGTGTACATTTTTTAGTAGAGCATCCCTATAGTAAATTGATTACAGTGAGTGTTTTTGTTTTTCTAATTAGAAATGTTTTTCGAAAAAGTAAGCTACCGTATAGCATTCTCCTTTAGTGCTATATGAAAATATATTAAATATCAAGAATTAATTAGTTCATTGTGTCCATATGCACCGTGTAAAAACTAGTGCTTACTGCTTCGGAAGAAAGTGCCTGATAGTTTGAAAGCCTGCTCTTATGGGTTAACATTTGAGAGTCTGTAACTTCTGATTTCTACCAAAAAGCTTGCAAAGATTGAACTATATGGATTTTACCTTCAGTTGACCCTATAAATTAAATGGAGCAAGTGGATATTTTCTGGTGTTTTGATTTATGCTGAACTTTGAATAACCCCTCATGATTATAATTCACTGAAAATGTTTGACATTAGCCACGGCGTTGCCATCCTCGGTACTTTTAAATTTCAGTGATTTAGAAGGCAAAATTTATTAACCAATAATTCTCCCCCCGCAACACACTTACATCCTAGTCTTCATTTTTCTCCCTTCCTGCATGACTCAATCTTTGCCAAAGCAGACATTTTTGAAAGACTTTGGGTTTGTCTCAGGGAGAGCTGTATTACATATGAGGACTGTTGGTCCTACCATAAGCCTGTTTGGAAGGCCATATGCAGATAATGCTGTTAAACAGCTGAGTCACATTCCATGTTCTTGGTCATGCTACAAGCCTATGAAAGGCCATCGGCAGATGGTAACCTTAAA